CATCGCATAACTTTATACAAAGAATTGACCATCTGCAGATTTTGATATCCACTGGGATCCTAGAGCCACTTCCCTGAGAATACCAAAGGAGGGCCAAGCCTGCCAACTCTGACCACATTTTGAATGAGGTCTTTAGGCCACTTGAAGAATCTCATGCAGGATTTTACACTTGTGTCTTGAAGACCTTACCTAGTCTTTTCTTTTGACTTGATAATATAAGCCCAGACAAACCAAGGCTTTTCCCAAGTTCATGAGCCTCAGAGAAACAAGGCTATCATTTGAAATCCTGTTTTCCAAACACAAATCCATGATTTACTGGAATATTTCTTCTGGGTTCCATTTCTTGCTGTTGGCCCAGGCTAAACTACTCCAGCTGTGGGTTTCCAAATGTCTTAGCAGTAAGTACATTTTCTGTAGTATTTAATTCTCACAACTTTGTCAGAATGGGATAAGGTCCAAGAGGTTCAGATCCTTGCCCACGACCAGAACCATATTTCAATAGCTATATTAAAAAGTAAAATTGACTTTAATAAACTGAAACTAATTTTAATAATACATATTTTTAGTTCAGTATATCCAAAATATTATTTTTTCTTTTTATAAAAGATTTATTTATTTATCTGAAAGGAAGAGTTATAGAGAGAGAGCCAAGAGATTTTTTTTCATTTGCTGATTCACTCTCCCAAAAAACACAATGGCTAGGGCTGGGCCAGGCCAAAGCCAGGAGCCTGGACCTTGTTTGAGTCTTCCCATGAATGGCAGGGGCCCAAGCACTCTGGCCATTCTCTGCTGCTTTCTTAGGCACATTAGTAAGGAACTGGATCAGAAGTAGAGCCATTGGGGCTTGAACTGGCACCCATCTGGGATGCCAGCGCTGCAGGTGGCAGCTTAACCCACTGCTATACAATGCTGGCCCCCAAGTCATTTAAACATGTAATCAATATGAAAAATTACTAATGAGAGATTTTGTGTATTTTTTTCATGCTAAATATTTGAAATATGGTCTGTTATTCACTTGCGGCACATTTTGATTTCGATTGGGTGCATTTCAAGTGTCTGATGGCCAATTAAAGCTGGTGCCTACCATGTTGGACAGTGCAGGTCTTAAGCATCAGTCAGAACTCAAACCTCCTGTATTGAACCATCCATGTAATCTTGTCACAGTCAAAACAAAGTCTTAACTTTTTACTGTGGCTCATGCAGCCCTAAATGACATGGACTCTGCCACCCTCTTACCTTACATCCACCATTCAGTATGCTCCAGGATGCACAAACTTGTTCTCATCTCAGGGCCTTTGCACTTGATACACTTTTGCTTAGAACATCCTTCCCTAAAAATCTTTGCATGGTTTCCTCCTCACCATTCAGAACTCATGTCCAATTTAACCTCCTCTAACAGGTCTTCTCAGACTATTTAGCCAGAGCCAAGGCACCCCCACCTCCTGCCCCAAGTCATCATCTACTGCATGGCTCTATTTTCTATTTTTCATGTCACTTATTATCATCTTGAAATACCTCAGATGCCTGCTTGTCTATTGTCTGTGTTCCGCTACTGCAATGTAATCTTTTTGAGGTGAAAGAAGCTATTTAATTTGCTCAGGGCAATATTCCTGGGACACAGAACAGCATCCTGTATATTTTAGGTGCTCAAGGAATCTTTGTTCACTGACTGACTGCTGACTCAATCCTATAGGTGCCCATCAGATGTTATGAAGTGTGTTTTGCCTTAAATCTCACAGCCTGGATTTGAAATACCATTTCTATTATTGCTCCCCTGATAGAGAATGCAAACCCCTCCTGGACTGAGTTGTCTATCCACTTCTCCATTTCCAGAAATTGGGAACTTCCCGTGGAGGGTCTTGGTGGTCTCAGAGTCCTCCTTGGGCTCCTGTTCTCTTGGTATGTGACCTAGTCTCTTTCTTCTTCCCACAACTCAATGGCACAAGTCAGCTGCAAGGTGACACAGAGCTGCCTACCTCACTTAACTGTCTTCTAGCATCCATGTCTGTCTTCTTTGCTACCTCCACCTTCTATATGAAGGATCTGCTAGAAGTTCATGAAAAATACATATTATGAAAAATTGGGTATGAATTTTGAAAAAAAATTGCATCAAAATAAACTAATCTTTTAATTCTACTTTCCATTATTTTTTGTACCCCCTCTGATTTCAGCTTCTTTCTCCGACCACCATAGTCTGTCTACCTCACTGCTTCCACTTTCTCTCTTGTGAAGTCACCCAGGGGTTAAGAGTATAGACTTCTTTGTCATTCATTCAGGTTCAAATCATGTAGCAGATCATGTTTCCTGTACAGCCTTTTTGTTGAGAAGTCAACCTCCTTGGGCTTCCATTTGTGATTTGTAGCATAAATATAGTCACTTTATGAGAAAGTTTTGAAATATGCTGGCCCATAATAAGAACACAAGACACGTGAGCTATCAATACTCATATTTTTATCTTTCTGTCTTTATTTCTTGTACTTGCTCTTAACTCTACTTTCCCATCACCCACCCTCTTGGGGGTGATGATATAAGAGAGAGATGTCAAGATTAGAGTTGTAGGCCTAATTTGTCCCAGCGGGATGTATAAATTTTGGAGAAAAAGAATCACCAGTTTGAGTTCCAACTCTTATTTAATTACTGTTTGATGTTGGTCACATTACTTTGCCTCTCTGAGCCTTAGCTCTTGTCTCTGCAGTGGAAATAATAATATACATTTTCCTCTAGAAGGCTGCTGTGTGATGTGAGGCACCAACTATAGATACATGGGTTTAGTGTCAGTAGATATTCAATGTTCATGCTTGCTTCTTATCTAAAATCAACCAAGAGGAAACTTTTTTTGAGATTTCATGTGATTTAATGTAAAGGGAGAGTCTCTTGTGCTTCCATGGGAGAAGTTTGAATTTATAAGAGCATGAAAATTAACTGAAACTCCTGTGTTCATGAGGTGCAAAGTGTGGGGATTAAACCCTGGCAGCTCATCTGTGGTTTCAAGTCTCTGCAGCCCCCTAGTGGCCATTGATTGAGGAAAACGATTGATTCATAGTTATTGACAAATCAGGGGAGTCTTCTTTACCTTTGGACATGAAATTACAGAGAATTAAGGAATGGGGAGCAAATGAGGTGGCATTTTATTCTCTTTCATATTTCAAATATAAAAGAACTTTTCTACCAGTGTGCACACCAACACAATTGATGAAAATCCAAATATACATATGCCATACTAAAAAATTATTAACCTCCATACCTTATCCTATTCTGCCCGCCTTGCTTTCCCTCTCTCCTCTCCTTCCGCTACCAATATAGGAGTCTTTTCTTCTCCTTGGATCAGATAAGTCTTTGCCCTTAAACTTGTAAACTCAAACGTATCCAGTCTGAGTTGCAGGGAGAGGCCCAATGCCTGTCAAATTAAATGAGTTGCAAACATAGAGCTGGAAGCAAGTCATTCCAAAAATCAATATCGCTTTGTTGTTAGCCCCTGCGCTTGTTAAAGGTGATGCCACAATGCAGGAAAGAGCCTAGCCCTTGGGAAAGCGGGGGTTGCACCTGGCACCACCTCCTGTGGGGCCATCAGCCGGGTCCAGCAGCCCCCAGGAGCTCAGTGAGGGAGGGTCAACTCCACATCCTGCTCCAGGTGTGGAGACGGCTCAGACTCCTGCCAGGCTGTGACAGCGCAGGGGCTGCCAATCAACCTTTGAGGAGAAGGAACTGAGGGATTGGTGGGAACCAAAGGTTACAGATTTGTCCGTGGGTCTAATGAACTGCTTGTTATAAAAACAGCCCTTATTGCGTCGTTCCGGGAGAGACAAAAGGAGAGGGAGACCAGAGGTGCAAGGCCGGGCTGGGGTTCCCAGCTCTCACCCCCAAGGCCATGAACAAGGATACCTGGTCCTTACTCCTCCAGCAAAGTCACCCCTGGATCTCTCTTGCCTGTTATTTATAGAGGCATATGGCAGAGTGGTGGCTAACAGTGCACAAGGAAGGGCTTGGGAGCCGCATAGGACCCTGTGACCCAGGAAAAGTCAGTTTCCATGAGCACATTTTCTCTTCTGTAAGACTGAAATTAGCAATATTTACCTATGGAGCCTAGTGGTTAAGATGCCAGAGTCCCGGATGGGAGCCTGTGTTGGCTCCAGCTCCTGGCTCAGGCTTCCTCAGTGCTTCTGCGGGGCCAGCAGAGGTGATGGTTCTGGTGATTGCTGCCGCCCGCGGGGGACAGCGGGGATGCTGTTTCTGGCTCTCCGCGTTTAGGGAGTGAACCCGCCGACGGGAGATCTCTCTGCCTCTCAAATAAATACACACAAAAAGGTATTCCCCTTGCAGGGTCCTCAGGAAGTGGTGTACGTTCAGACACCGTTCTGAGAAAACGGGGTGACTAGCGAGAGGTCTAAAACGTGCCTGCTTGCTGTGGTTGAAGAATAATGCTGAGAGGCAGCGGCTCTGCCCTCCGCCGCCTTCAACTTTTCCCGCGTGGATCGCGGGAGCAGCAGGCTCCCGGGAAAGCGCCCAAATCGCGCCAGGGCCAGGGAGGATTCTGTCTCCGGGTGCTCATACAAGCTGTTTTCAGATTCGGCTGTCATTCCTCCCAACCTCCTCCCTAACCCCGTCCTTGTCCTTCAGTTTTATTCCGGAACCCGATTTTCTGAAGTCGGACCCGTTTAAGCTCTCACGCGCATAATCAGAGAGCGTGCTTGATCGCAAAGGCCTCTTCCAAGTCTCCCATTTGTCCACCACCCGCAGGCATTCGCACAGCGGAGAAGTAGGGCGGGGAACCTGGAGGAGGGAAGGCCGGGGGGCGGGGCGGACTGTGTGCTTTTCTCAATGAACGCCGAGGCCTCTGCAGATTTGCATAGGAGCCGGCCTCGCTGCGCCATTGGCTGGCGGGTGCGGGCGGGGCGGGGCGGGCCTGCGCGGGCCGGGCCGCGGCGCGGAGTTGGCGCGCGAGCCCCGCCCCCTCCCGGCGCGCGCTCGCGGCTCGGCCAGCTGCGAGTGGCGGGCGCCCGGGCAGATGCGATCCAGCGGCTCAGGGGGCGGCAGCGGCCGTAGCAGCTGGCACTTCCCGCCGCCGCGGTCCGGAGTGTCGCGGAGCACCGAGGCGCCTTCTGGCTGCCCTCTGGTCTCCTACCCCACGCCGCGGGCGCGGCCGAGGGGCGAGCAGAGGGCAGCGAAGCTTGGGGCTCTCCTGCCCTGAATGCTTTTCCCTTGGCTGCTGCCGCCGGGGCCGCTCCGGTGCCTGCGAACTCCGCGCAGCCAAGGCGCAAGCGAGAGCGCGGGTGCTGCAAACTTGCTAGGCGGCGGCTGAGCCCCGCTCCGCAGCGGGGGCGCCGGGGCCAGCGCTTAACAAGTTCTGCGGGCAGCGCACGGCAAAGGCTTCCTGCGGCCGAGGGTCGCCTGGCCACGCGCTAGGAAGCAGCCCCCGCCCTCAACGTCGGCCAGTCTGCGCAGAGGAGCTCAGGGTCTGGGGCGCCGCCGGGAACGCAGGAGGCGGCCAGGACAGCGGCACCCTCTCGGAGCCGCTGTTCCCAGCCTGTGAAGTTGCGGACTGGAGGCCGCCCGAGAGCCGACCGACCCCGGCTCCGGCCGTGCGGGCAGCCTGGGACGGTACCCTTCGCCGCCAACTCAGCCGTCGGAGCTGCTGGAGCTCTGGGGCGCGGCGAGCAGGGGGCATAGGGTCCCTGCTGTTGAGCCCCGCGTGCTTCGGAATCTCTGAACTCGCCCCAGACGCCCAGCTGCGATTCACCCAGGCCCCTGTTCGCCTGCTTGCAGTCGGGGGAAAGCAGGAGAATCCCCAGAGGTCAGGTGGAAGGAGCCCTTCAGGACCTAGTACTGCGTGGGAAGAAGGGAAGGGCGAGCTGGGCCCTCGAGTGGGGGAGAGGAGCACTCAGCCCTCCGGCGGGATGCGAGCCATCGGGCTCCTGTGGCTGCTACCGCCGCTGCTCTCGGCGGCCGCTTCTAGCTCCGGGGCCGCGGTCGGCCAGCGCGCGGGCTCTCCGGCCGTGGGTCCACCTCTGCAGCCCCGGGAGCCGCTCAGCTACTCGCGCCTACAGAGGAAGAGCCTGGCGGTGGACTTCGTCGTGCCCTCGCTCTTCCGCGTCTACGCCCGAGACCTGCTGCTGCCGCCGCCGTCGCCTCCGCCGTCCCCCCCGGAGCCAAGGGCTGGCCAGGCGGAGGAGCACGGCTCGCTGGCCCTTGACTGCGCCCCGCTGCTCAGGCTGCTGGGACCGCCGCCTGGGGTGTCCTGGGCGCCCGCGTCCCCGACGCTGTCCAGGGTGCTGAAGGGCGGCTCTGTGCGCAAGCTCCGGCGCGCCAAGCAGCTGGTGCTGGAGCTGAGCGAGGAGGCGATCCTGGAGGGCTGCCTGGGACCTCCCGAGGAGGCGGCCGCCGGGCTGCTCCAGTTCAACCTCAGCGAGCTGTTCAGCTGGTGGATTCGCCACGGCGAGGGGCGGCTGAGAGTCCGTCTGATGCCCGAGAAAAAGGCGTCGGAAGGGGGCCGAGAGGGAAGGCTGTCTGCGGCCATCCGCGCCTCCCAGCCACGCCTTCTCTTCCAGATCCTCGGCGCCGGTAAGCAGCTCCCGCCGAGCTTGTCGGGGGCGAGGGGAGGGGGGGGGGTTGGAGTTCTAGTCACATCCGTGTACAGCCAGTATTAACCAGCCCCCACCTCGGCCCCCTTTCCAAACCTCAGCTTCTGGTTCTCAGCCGCCTTCCTCCTTCCCGGGGCCTCCCTCCCCAGTCAGGTTGTGTTTTCTTATTTCCTCCTGAGTGCAGTCACTCCATAAAGAGCTCTTTAACAACCAAGTTGGGAGAAAAGTTTCCTGTTCCTGGTGAACTGCCGCCTTCTACCACTTATACACGGCCCCTGCCAAAATTGGGTGCCCTTCCTCCTGGGACTCTGGGGTTATTGCAATGCCCCTGTTACTTCTAAGTTCTAACTTTGCTGTAGACTAAACATCACTTCCCTTCTTCCTTCCCCTCATTCCTCTTCCTGGCAGTTGGGGAATCTGGTACATGTTCTCTGGGAATATAGAGATCCCCATCATTTTGCTGAATCCCATGCCCCCTCCCCAGGGCATCTCTACCCCCAACTGTTGGCTTGCCCAGGTCCTGCCTCTTTATTAATTCATTCTGCCACCCATTCCTACCTCTCAGACTCTGATTCTTCCTCTGGGATGGGGTTGGGAGAGCCCCCAGAGGAACTCAAGAGCAGGGGATGAGAGGGTGGTGTGGAGAGGAAGGAAAGTTGCCAGGATGTTCATGCCATGGGGAAGTCACTGTCCAGCCAGGGAGAGTCAATAACTGGTGTCCCTGCCTTCCTTCTCCCCCTCCCCTTTCCCCTCTGATGTCTGCAGCAGCCGCACTCTGTGATAAGGTGAGAGTCTCTGGCAGGCCTGCTTCTCTGCAGATCTCTCTGCTGGAGACTCCTGAAATAAGGTTTCAGTTTCTTTTATTCCCTCATTTCTTCCCACATTCATTGTGGTGTGTGTGTGTGTGTGTGTGTGTGTGTGTAGGCACTTATTTCTAACTCTTTCCAGAGAATCCTTTGACTGTAAAACCAGATGGTTTTGAATGGATGTTTCTCTTGTATGACTACTTGTGAATAAAATATACAGTGTAAAATGAATGAAAAAAGCACAGAAAAGAAGTCGTGCTTTTTTAAAGCCTACACTAATTCCATTGAGCATACCCAGCTTATTTTCTATCACTCTCATCGTCAAAAATAAATGAAGTTCTTATGCTTCACTGGTTACTATGTCTGATATTAATTGGATGGAAAGCATGGGGAAAAAGCCTATTGTAGAGCTACAAGTATCTCTCATGGCTGTCCCAACATGCATATATTCCCCTACACCGAGTTCTCTTGAGTAATGGGGAAATTCAAAGCTGGAGCTTCCTAGTCATTGCACAGAAAACATATGGGTATGGAATCCCCAAGGAAAACAGTGTGGGTGTGTATCTCAGCATTAGCATGAGTGGCATTGGTGCCTAAAATGACCCCTTGTGTTCAATGCTGGAATTTATTCAGTCCATATTAACAGTCAGAATCTGATGAGTTTGGTGGTTGCCTTCTGTGAACTGAGATGGGAGATGGATATGGTTGTCCCACCGCAGATACTTTTGTAAAGAACAGCTGGGCTTTAATGTCATCTTGGCTTCTGTTGTTTATCCATGCAGCATTCTATTTCCGTGCTCAATGTTTATGTAGTGAATATAAAAGTGATTTGTTTGGAAATGTGTATTTTCTACCACATTCACATCTATGAGCACCTCTGGGGCTTCCCCATCACCTGTTCTTAAAAACTATAGCTCCCCCTGGTCTGTATGAACTGTTGCTGGATATTGGTGACAGGCAAAAGAGATCTCTTGTGTAACTGCAAATTTGTACACTGTAAACAGGCAGGTTTCATGAAGCTGTTAGTGAATGTCTCTGAATGTTCTATGCTTGATGTGTTTGGAGAATGTACTCCAGTTCAGCTTTAGATAAGGAATTGAAGCTTCTGTGGGTTGTGGGTAGTGTAGCTTCATGTTCTCCAACAGCTGCTCTGGCCGTAGGGAAGTTTTGTGCACATCCCAAGTCCTCCCTCGGCAGCACAGCCCATTTGGCAGCTGGACCAAGTCCTTCTGCATCATTTGACATATCTAGCAACAAGGGTCTCAGAAAGAGCCAGGCTTCTGCCATTAAAAAACTAGAAATTTTGGCCAGGCATTTATCAGCAAGATTGGGATCAAATGATTATTGATGGGATCAAATAAGACACTAAGTGTAATTGGATGAGCTCGCTATGACCTCCAGAGAGGCAGCTTATTGAAAAGCACTTGGGGCCTTGTGGTGATCACACTTGGAACAGGATGGTCTTTCCTGTCTCTGTGGACATATGCTGGCTGCAGTTAGGCAGCTGGCCATGCAGGACTAGCTTCTTACCTTACCACTGCCTCCTCCATCTAATTCAGATAGTCTCCACTGCAGGTCTCTCATGGAGTGGAAACACCCTGCTATATCATGTTCCATATTTGGTGCAACATGTATCATTGTGGTTCCACTTATTTTCTTGTATGAAAATTCAAGCTTACGTTCTGCCTTCTGGATTGATTTTGCTATTCATCATGTTTGGAGAAATGTTTTTTTTTTCTTTTTATATAGGCTTTGATTTATAGAAAGGGCATTTGACTCTTTGACACAGGCTCTTCAATTATACAAAGGGAAAAAGGCACATCTCAGCTTACTTATTCTTGCTTCTACCAGAATGACCAGCAGACTGGGCTAGAGGAGCACCATCATGCTGGTGGGGTTTTTTATGTGCAGGGGAAACGAAGGGATTGTTGTTCTGCCACCCCTTCTTATGAGAGGCCTGGAGCAGCCCATGTGTCTCAAACAGAAGATATCTTCCTAAGTCTGAGTAGGACCCTGGTGAGGGAATGGTAAAAATGGAAAAGAAGCCACTTAAAACAAAGTGAAACCTTTGTATTACTGTGGTTTAGGCTGTCTGCGAGGACAAAGGGATGTCTGTGATGCCTTGTAATGCATGGCATGCTTATGTTTTTGTGTATTGTTGTGAATTCATGAGTGGGGTCAGCCTTTCAAAGCATGGGGCAATTCCCCAGATCACCCGTTCATGGAGGAGGGCAGTTGCTGTGGCTGGTGATATGCCATCCTAGGACAGCCCAAGTTGCAGAAAGGGTGCGTTTTTGGAGACTGCCACACTGCCCACATCTTCAGTTTGTGCCATGGAGATGTAAACATTTTGAGATCTGCTCCTGGCACCCCCAAGGCTGAGATCTATAGAATGATAACTTATGGGATAGAGAGGGTCCTGTTTTCTTGCATACACACCTTCCCCATTCCAGTAAGGGGGATACATGACCTGGGACCTTGAGTGTGTCACAGAGAGGCCTGAACAATGTCGAGTAGATTATCCAGTGCAATCCCCCTGACCCTTGAACTTGCATGTGTGTCAGGCCCTTCTCATTTCATTTGTGGAGAGAGGAAACTGGAGCTCCCAGAAGGGATATCAGTTATTGGAGGTGAATTGGGAGAGTTGGAACCAGTCCAGAGAAGAGCAGAGAGCTGATTTAAGAGTTGAAGGAACTGATTTATGATGAAAGATGAAAAGAATTAAATATATTTGGCTGGGCTAAGTAGTGATGAAGGAAAAGCCATGGTAACAATCTGCAAATCTCTGGAGAGGGAGTGTGGCAGTGAAGGAGTGGAGTTATTTAGTGTGGCCCGTGGAAGTAATAGGATGAGACTTGCAGAAGGAAACTTCAGGTTCGATATCAAGGATCCTTATTTTTCTGAAATTGATAGTCCTCTGACTATGGGATGCAATTCCAACAGAGCAGGGAGTCAGGTGAGATGTGGGGCAGACAAGCCGCAGCATTCATAATTAATTGGTTCTGTATTTTCAGATGTTGAGAAGCCACAACAGGCTTAGAGCCAGGATGGGGAATGGCAGCAGGAATGTATCTCTTGGTATCTAATTCGTGAGAGCCTTTGGGCAATAGTGTTTCTGGGGGAAAAGAAAAGAATTGCATAAATGTCTTTGAAGTTGGTAGGAAGCACTTAGAAGATGATTATTAGAAACTATTTTGAAATTATTGGGTTTATTCTTTTCTATAACTAGACCAAACACAGAGTATTTCTCTGGGGTACAATCTGGATATCCAATGAGGGCAGGCACACTCAGAAGAGAATGATATATTCAAGATGTGTGTGTGTGTGTGTGTGTGTGTGTGTGTCTGTGTCATGGCATGATCAACAAAGAAGATGACCTGGACCTTGAGAAGATTAGATCAATTCTAGAAGATTAGATCAATTCTAGATTTGGTGAATTCTGACTGGCCACTTGAAAACCCTTTGAAATGTTGAGGGGGAATATATATATATATATATATGAGATGAGTTTCATCCAAGTTCAATTCAATATTTCACAAATTTATAAAAGAGAGAGAAAACCCATGAGAGGTTTGGGTGTGGGAGGAGAATATTGCAGTAATAGCAATGGATACCTTTATAAGGAAGCTGGTCTGCTGAAGGTCCAGAGGGTCTGGCCTGTGCATGGGAAAAGAAGAGAGAAGGCTGGGTCAGCAGGAGCTACAGCACACTGCCGCTTTTGGGTTTACTGCCTGATAACCTCACTTTATTGGAATTTGCCCAGCCTGACCCATAAAAGAAATCTTGCCTCCCTTTACAACATTAGTAATGTCCAGTTGAATGGGACCTTATAATTTATAAATCATTTTTCCATTTATTATTTTTTAATCAATTCTACAGTAGCAAGTACTTGCTTTACTTTATAAATGGAGCTGCTGGAATCCAGACATTGGGGAACATTTTTTCAAGGTCATACAGATGCAAAGTTGTAGACCTGGAAAGTTTCATATATGTGTTCAGAGGTTATGACATGACAGATGCTGTGGTAGTTACTGACTAGAACCATGATTATCCTTGCCTTCAAGTCAAAACTTATTCCACACTAGGGAATCATCTGAAGGTGCCGGTTATGAATATCCAAGCTGGGCAAATAGATGAAAAGTTTTACATCATCCTTGCTATAAGGTCATGCAAC